ATCTATCTATCTATCTATCCACACAGAGAGAATATGCCACTTATAGTGTGTACCATACCATTTTCATATTGAAAAGTTTCTCCCTGACCTGTGGGCTGTTTTTGGTCTGTTGTTTTTTTTTTTTTTTTTTGGCCTTAAATGTGCTGTTTGTTTGCTAATATCCCTTAACTACCCTCAGAGCTTATAAAGAGCAGTTGTTCTTATGCTGAGATTAAAATACATGCAGCGTAAGTCAATTTACTAATTAGGAGACTTTTTTTCACATTTTACTTATGAGATTTTTACAGCAGTGTGTATTTTTTCCTTCCACTTTGTAACTATTTGTCACTTTGTAGAAATACAGAATCACTAACCATTAAAAATCAGTTTGCTGTGTTTAAAGCACTTTTGCGAGGCACTGTAATTATTGAACTATGCAGCATTAAAAACAAACAACAGACTGTAAAGCAAACAGTCCTAAGACGTTAACTAAGAATAATGATAGAGTCATGTAGTACCTTAAGTAATTTGCAGAAGAAAACACAACAGGTTGAGATTTGTGTTTAATGAACACAATAATTCAGAAAACAGGCATAGTAGCATTTTTCTTCAACCTAATTAGCCCTAAATTAGTCTAATGTGTTGTCAAAAAGTTTTGTGAGGTCACATAAGTGCCCTCCGCCTGGAGCTGGAGGGCATGGATCATTTCCCGACTCTGGAAATTGAGTCAGAGTCGAATTGTGTCCTGCCCTAGCTTATTACTGGCTGAGAGGATCGCCCATCCCAGCAGCATAATTCCATCTGGGCTAAATATTTATACAGAGGGGGAACGACATCACTTATCCACAACACATCCATTCACTTTAGGGAAACTCCTCGCTGGAAGAAGTTAGAAGGATCTGCTCTGTTCATCAGAAGAACATCACTTCTTTACGCTGATCATTTTTGCACATATTTGTTTGAAGACTCTTTTTTTAAAGCGTTTCTTCCCACCAAGATAAACAATGAGGTTTTTGATATTTGCTTTGGGTGCGATTCTTTCTCTCTGTCAGATTGGAAGAAATCCAGTCAGTGGTGAGTGGACTTTGTTTTGTGTTTTTCAAACTTGGAGAAATGCATTTTTAAACTGCATCTTACCTTTAGATTAAACATATGCTAAGGATATGATAAGAACCTTGTATGTGGACCTGCTAAACCTGCTCAATCTACCTATTTTTATTTTGCAAGAAAAGACGAGATAGAAAAGACAACGACAAAAAACACAAAAGCTTATCTATTAATGTGATGTATACATTTTAATGTGCCAACTCAATCCATAATATGTAGAAATGTTTTTTTAATATGCCTTTTTGTGGACATGTCCAGCGGGGATGTGCTGGTTGCAGCAGGGTCCAGACCATCGGTGTGACATGGTGCTGATGAGAGAGGTGAGCAGAGAGGAGTGCTGTTCTGGGGGCCGTCTGGACACAGCGTGGTCCAACACCAGCCTGCCCCTAAACGAAGTCAGTCTGTTCGGCTTCCTGGGTATTGTCTCCTGCAAACCATGCAAAGGTAATAGAAAATGACCATTATAAAAATGTCCCTAAAGAGCACACATGCAGTTACTTTTACCTACATCATGCTGATCAATAACTTTAAGGAACTTTGTTGAAAAATGCTAAGGGCTGTAATAAACCTCCAAACTGCTATATCTGTCTATTGGAAAATATCATAAAGGGTTAAAAAGATACACACTAAAATTTAAAAAAGGAAGCCTGGTTGATGTATTAGATTGAACTGTGAGGTACTGTATGGGGTAAGTGCTGGCCTAGTGGTCAGAGCAGTGCACTTGTGCTCTTATAAGGTTGCAAGTACCTGGTTCGATCCCCACAGCCTCCCCCCTGGGTTCCTGAGCAAAACCCTTAACCCTGATTGCTCCCTGGTCAAAATGGTCAAAATGCAGAGAACAAATTTCCCCTTTGTTGGACAATAAGGGGATTTACATTTCAAATAAAACCAGTCATTGGTGCTTGTTATAGAGTTTTGGGGGAATATGCCTCTGACTTTGGCCTCCAACCAAAAAGAAAAGCTTAAAGAGTTCACCCTGATCAGCTTTAGCCCCAAATTTACCTTGGAAAACCTTTTATTTTCTGTTATTTTCTGTTATAAAATCATTAGAGGAAAACACATTACATGTTCTCTCAGTTCTCTCTGCAAGCAGCATTAAAATGAGAACATTTTAAACAACACAATCATTCTTAGTGTCTGGAATTCGCGTTCCTTTGCCTACATGTCTGGGAATCAAACCGTAGGAGGATTAAAAAATGCTGAATGAACAAAAACTTGTCAGTTCAGATGAACGCATCAACATTATTATGAGGCACGGTTGTGGATATAAGCATATGCAAATAAAAAATATGCAGTGACATCCAAGTTGACTTAAAGTTAAAGGTGTGGGATTCTAAGATCGGTTCCTGATACAGGAAATATGCTTTTGGTTATTTGCAAGCCTCTTTTAGAAGCTTATCAAGAATAATCATCATAAAGTCTGAAAAGTCCTATTTGTTTAGACTAATGCTGACTCTACACTGTATAGGGTTGCACCACCTCCTGTGCATTAACATTATATGGAGTGTTAAAGGAGCCTGGGGGCTTCCTGATTTGTCAGCCTGTAAACTTTTTGGACAGCTTTTTGAACTCAGTCTACCTCAGAGCGCCCCCCCTCCTCCTCCCATTCTCCCTGCAGGAGCCAAGAGACAGTGTGTATGCAGACTTACACATAGTTCTGTTATGAAAACACACCCGTCGCACATTCCGCCAGACGAGACACCTTTGTGCAACAGTCAATAAAGAGATGTGGATATTATAAATACTGTGCAGAGCGAAAATTGTCTCGCTGTCGGGGAAAGACCCACATTTGGTCTTTGTTTTGGATGAAAATGCCTGAGCACTTCCCTAATGTGTATATAACATGTCAATATATCAACACTGAAACACATTGTTCTTTCTTTCTAGACTCCTGCGAGGGGGTCAAATGCAGCCTTGGGAAGGTTTGCAAGATGAAAATGGGAAGGCCTCAGTGTGTGTGTTCTCCAGACTGCTCTCACATTCAGAGAAAGCACGCTGTGTGTGGCAGCGACGGCAGGTCGTACAAGGATGAGTGTGCCTTGCTGATGGCCCGCTGCATGGGACACCCAGACCTGGAAATCATGTACCAGGGCGAGTGTAAAAGTAAGCATTATCTTATTGGCCGTCCAAAAATCTCCAGGGTATGAGGTTATTGACATATACTTGGTGAAAATAAGTATAAAGATAATCTAATTCCTTACTTCTAACAGCTGTTTAATAGCTGAACAAGCTCTTCAGAAATATTTTGAATGTATTGTCATATTAATTTAACTGAATTTTAAACTTATTTATCAAATAAAAGCAAAATGTAAAACAAAATCACTTAAAAGCACTGAAACCTTTTGTCAGTATAAATGACGGTTTGTTGTTTTTTTCTCCTTTATCAACATGTCATTTTTCAATCTGTTTTTTAAAATAAGCATTCTGTTAACTCTTCCATACTATAAAATGAACTATAAAATGTACATTATAGACTTTTTAGTTATTGATTGTTCAACATGCCTCATCAAGTTCAAAAAGTATTTTTTATTTAACCATTTCCAGTATTTCATAATAATTGAGCACAGACTATATTCTTTTGATCCAATTTTGCAAGCACTTATTTATAAAAATGATCTGGATGCATTCAAGTTCAGCTTAATTGATTTTTTTGTTTTTTTAGTTTGGCCCATGGATAAATGTGAAGTGACGTGGCTTAGATACATGAATATCTAATAGATTAATTTACTTGATTTGGATATATCTTTAGTTTTTTTTTTTCTTCCTACAATCAGAAATATTTCTAAACAACAGAAGGAGTCATTTCTATAAGGAAGTTGATTATCAGAAGGAGCAGCCAGCTAATGCACAATGAGTAAAAAAGAAGGTGCGGTAGGGGCAAGGACTAGATTACGTTTGGATGTTCCTAATCTCTGAAGAAAACTGATCACTATGACACTGTCTGGCGTCTTGGCAGGAATTAAATCAAAGCTTTGACAGCATACTTCTAAAGCAACATTTTCATTTAAAAGCATAAAAAAACACATAAAGGACTTTTAAAATGTTGTAGAAAGGTAAAAGAAAGGACAAACCCAAAGGTTTTAAAATCTTGAATCTAAACAGGAACTTTAGACTAATAAATTATTTTTACATATTTTCTGGGTTGAATAAAAGCAAGCACTGATTAACCTCAAAAACCATTAACATAATAGGTTTTCCATAGTGCCCAATGTTTGAAACTATTAAATTACTTTTGTCTACCCTGTATATTTTTCTACCCTCTGTTCTCTTAATCCTTATGTTCCAATATCCTCTTTATTTTTTTTCCACAGAGTCATGTTCCAGTGTTGTGTGTCCGGGACCCCACACCTGCGTCACTGACCAGACCAACAGTGCTCACTGCGTCATGTGCCGTACCACGCCATGCCCCACACCTGTGACATCTGACCAGCAGATCTGTGGCAATAACAACATCACCTATCAGAGCGCATGCCACCTCCGCAGGGCCACCTGCTACCTTGGCCGCTCCATAGGAGTCCGCCACTATGGCCATTGCAACAGTAAGAACTTTTGTTTTTTTTGTTTTTTTGTTTGTTAACAAGTTCAACTCTGACAAAGCATTTTCCTCCAGGTTCACCTCGGAATTCTCACAAATCCAGGGACAGCGAGGAGAACGCCGTGTAAACGTTTCCTCTGGCAGGATCTGAGCTGATTGACCATGACGTCACACCACTAGTTCCCCAAAATGACCTCTTCAGTTTGACAATCCCTTCTATTCTCCTCGCTTGGGACCAAAAGATCACATTATGAAAAACCCAACTGTTTTGTGAGAGGCTGATAAATGTGTCTTTGTATGGAGTAGTTTGGGAGATGTGTGCATATTGTAAATAGATTACCAATACTATTTATTGGAGAAGGTATAAAACTCTATTTATGATTATTTTTCCAAATAACAAATTCACTTAACCATGGGAAAGATGATCAATCATATATATATTGTTTTTGTTTAAAATTCAATCATTTTCACAGGTTTAGGTAATTAACATCTTTTCAGTTTACACCCTATGAAACCTGTATTTTCTTATGGTGGTTAGAGACAGCGCCAAAACGCCTTGAGAGCTCAAACCAATTAACTCTCAGTCAGCTTGGTTGTATTTCACCACAAACAACATATCTGCTATTCTATTGTAATTTAGCTTTAGTTTGTGTGCAGAGGAAGACAAACCTGTGCAGTCATGCCCCTGCCTCCCTCCTCCTGCATGCACTGGGGGGGGGTTTACAAATCCAGATCCAGGTCCAAGCTATTCACCACCCACAGTTCACCAAAATTAGGACCATCTTTTTTTTTTTGTTTGTTTGTTTTTTTTATTGTGGGATCCCAGTGGATATGTTGGTACAAATCCCAGCCCTGTAAAATGCATATTCTGTTTACTGCTTGGCTTTGTTTGCTAATGCATTTTTGGAGGTCGTGCAAGTTTGCTCAGATGCTGTTTTGCCTCTTTGATTGGATTGGGCTTTTTTTTTTTTTTAAGCGTCTACCAGACAGAAAAATATTTTGGGATTTTTAAGCGTCTACCAGACAGAAAAATATTATTAGTGCCATCTGACTTGGGAGAAAATTAGATTTGTCTGGGAATGCCTAACAGATCGGGACATTTCACTAGAGCTGATTATAATGTGTTCAACTGCCTTTGACACTGGTAAACCAGCCTAAATTCTCAAAACAGATGTCTGATTTGAACAGTCCCTGTTGGGTACTAGGAAGCATTTTAATGAGTCTTCTGTAAATATATTCATTTTCTCTACCTACCTGTGTATCTGCTGTGAAATTGAGTGAAGACTGCTACAACATATTTTTGTATTTTTGTACTGACATTTAAAAAAAAAAACATAAAGTTTGTGGTTCATCAGCGAGTCTTCTCTTTCTTTTGGAAATTTGAACATCTTGTTTTTGTTTTTCTATGGATGCAAAGTTGATAATAATGTCTGGCAAAAGAATTGATTCAGATCTCAGTGTTACTTTGGCATTATTTTGGAATGTTAAATGATAGACCAACAAAAAGCAGTGGTTATTTGTGATGAGAATGGAAAAGGATGGTTAATTTTTCCATTTACAAATATGGCAGGCATGTTGTCTGCTGTGTTGAGAAGATTTTTTTTTTTTTTTTTTGACAAACTGAGTCATGAAAGTCAAGAAACA